ATCTCCCTAACTCAAAATTTATTATCACTGCTAATTACCTAACTAAAACTAATTTGAAATGGAAAAGAAATTACATCATCCCCAATCATAATTACATCATCCCCAATCATGATAGTGTGCCCTCCTGATGGCAGAACACTATACGCATTATAGCCTATGATCTGCAGGCTTTTACAAACATTAAACTCAAAACTAACCTTCTCACTACTCTTAGCTTTAACAAAAAGCCTCTTAAACCCAATCACTTGCTTAATATTTGCCTCTATAATTCCTTCGGAGGCCTGGCGTATACAATCATAATTTCGCTTCCATCTCTGAATCCCACATTTTTCACTTCAATATCAAACTGAAAACTTTCCTTACAGGATAAGTGATTAGTTCGGATTATGGCAATGTTGCAACTTGTTTAGTTTTATATTGACTGGTGTTCTTGGAGATGTTAACTTATAAGTGAAGTCAGTGTAGCTGAGTCCATACCCGAATGGGTAAACGGTAGAGCCATTAAAGAATTTATAAGCTCGACCTGGATAGCTTAATTAATCATTTGGCCTCAACTGTAGAGATGTCTTTGGTAGTTGATCAACAAAATCTGTTTGATGCCAAGTAAGTGGTAGTCTTCCTCCTGAACCGAAAAAAAAAAAGATAAAAAAAAAAAAAAAAAAGATAAAAAAAATTACAAAAATTATTAAAAACTGAAATTTCTTAATTAAAAACTACTAGTCAGTAAATTACCAGGATTGTATTTTCCGAAAACAACATCTGCAATGGCCCGACCACCTTCTACTCCAGGGTATCGAGCCCACAAAATGGCTTTGATATTGACATTGTTTTTAGCGAAAGTGATATCTATTCCTCCTGCTGACATGATTACGAGAATAATTGGACCTTTGGCAGCATTCGCAACATTGTTGAAAAGTTCAGTTTGGTAACCAGGAAGGAGGAGATCCTCCCGATCTCTGGTTTCTGCTTCAACAGGCAAGTCAATACCAGCTACTATTATAGTAGCATCAGCTTCCTGTGCAACTTGCATTGCTGGGAATACCAATTTGTCATCCCTACAAGCAACGTCGACGCATCCAATTGCATAACTCACTTTTGCATATGTCGAAAACCCATCAATAGGAGAGAAATATCGGCATGGAATTCCTGTAATCAAAATGTTAATTATATTTATAATACAATTGAAATGTTTTGTATTTAAAAAATATGTACCTGCATAATTTCCAATCATAGCCTTTGTAGCGTTAGCATGAGGACCAACCATAGCTAAGGTTTTGATCGTATCAGACTTCAAGGGTAAAGTATCATCATTATTTTTTAGCAGGACAATTCCATCCCTCGCAGCTTGTGCTGCTAATTCAATGTGTTGTTCGGAACACAAAGTCTTTGATGCCAAGAGATTGAAATGGAGGGATTCCATCAAAGAACCCTACTCTCAGAAGCACCACATAGAGATATTTAAGTGACCTATCTATGTCTTCTTCCCCGACCTTTCCTTGCTTTACTGAAGCTTCAGTGTTTTTGGTGTAGTATTCTCCACAGTCCAGATCCAAGTCCACAGTCCAGATCCAAGCCTGCTTTAAGTGTTCTTGCAACTGCATCCTCCTTGGTGTCATCAAGAAATTTATGGCGTTCAACCATAACTTGGATGGAATCACAATCTGATACTATATATCTGTCACAAAAAGAATAAAATCGTATTGAGTTGTATTAGTTATAGAATAAAGAAATTAATTAAATGAATTCAAGCTGATCATATCTTTACCCGTGAAGATTCCACTCTCCTCTGATGGTTTGATTTAGGAGCTTTGGATCAGCACAAGCAGGTATGCCGTTAACACGATTGAAAGAGCACATAATACTGCTCACATCACCTTCTTTAATGCACATCTCGAAAGGTCGATTAAAAGTTTCTACCATATCTTGTTCATGCACCTGCATTAAGTTATCACTTTAATTAATTCTCATTCATTTTTAAAATTAAGATGATTTTAAATTTTGGAAAAAAAAAAAGGTTTTTCTTCCAGAAAATTACTCTAGCATCAAAGATATAACGTTCAGTGTTATTCCAATTTTCAAGATCATATGCAGTAAAGTGCTTGCAACATGAGGAAACTTTGAGAGGTCTAGAGTCTGGATCTGGGTGATTTTCAGTCCCTTCCACATCTTGTAAGCCTCTTACAAAACTAGAAGCATATCTACCTACGATGAAAGGATCTTCTCCAGGTGTTTCAATGTCACCTACAAATGGAAAGGATCTTCTTTCCAGGTTGTTTCAATGGCCTCCTTCCCCATCGAGGATCCCTTAACTACGTTAATAACCGGACTCAGAAAGTTACTCCAAGCCGACCTAAAATTGTAACATTGCCCTTGCTTCGGTTCGAAACGCCGGCATTAAAGATTAGTTAAATATTTACATTAATAGCTAACCCGTATGAGCAAAAATCGACTTTTAATGCTAGAAACAGCAACAAAACTAATTACCTGACCAATAGTTTTCCATAAAGACTCGTTAAAAGCAGCTGTTGTGAGTATTACAGTAGGGAAGCTAGTTGCACCAGGAACAACTTCAACAAAGAAAGTTCCTGGGCCTGTACTGGACACACCATGCAAGGCTTCAGACCACCAATTATATTTAGGTAACCCTAACCTAGGCACACCATAAGCCGCATGTCCAAGCTGTTGAACCTTTTCTTGCAATGTCATACGGTTTACCAAGTCTCTAGCCCTAGCATCACAGGGAAGGGGCTTGTCACAGAAGGAAAAATTTGCCATGTCCAATCCAAGGGCAGCATACCTAGAAGGGTCACAGACCTAAGTGAAGTTAGTCCCCGTAAAGGAAACATCATCTTTGCCTAATATGGTGGCGTCTAATGGATTTTCCAGTCCATTTCTAGCTGCCGTAGTAGAAATGACAAAGAAAGCAACACATAAAAGATTGATAATGAGAGTAGAACTTAAGCTTTCAGCCATGGCCTTTTTAGATTTTTCAGAGCCGCTTATGATTCTAAAACTGGTTATAGAGGCAAGCAATTCTTGATTTTTTTTCATAGTTGGTTTCCAATATCTTGAAACTTTCTAAGCTAGCTGTTGAAGTAAGATTCATATATATTTTCAGTTAAGATTATATCTTTATATCTCTCTTTTTTGTTTTTTTTTTTTGTGTTTTTTTTTTTTTTTTTTTTTTGTGTTTTTTTTTTTTTTTTTTTTTTTTTTTTTTTTTTTTTTTTTGTATATATGCATAGAACTTAAGCTTATCTTTTGTTGTCTTTTTATTCGTAAAGAAAAAAAAAAGATTATTTAGCTATTATCCAATAATACCATTCCTAATATGATTTGAAAATGAAAAATTCTTTAGTCTTTTGCTTTGTTTTTTTTAATGAAAATCTTTTTTTTTTTGTAGAGAGAGAGAATTTAATAAAAATAAGTTAATTTAATAAAAATAAGTTGTTCTCTTTCCTTAAAATAAAAATAATTACCCAATAACATTATTCTCAAAATGGAAAAGTATATATAATTTAAAGTAAATTTTATAAAATTAGTACGGTCATACGAAACAAAGTAAATATCCTATATATAAGTATTTAGTTTGACTTATTATATAGATAGCATAGTTAATCTATGTGATTTTTTTTGGATAAAAATTATTAATACTCTGATAAATCTTTTCTTTCTATTTGATTTTTTCTAAGTATTTTTTTTCACAACCTATGTAAATGGAATAAATAATAATTGATAAATAATAATTGAATTTAATATTATATATCATATGCTTATATTTTGAGAATAACTATTTGACTTTTATTTGAGTTATCCATCATATGGTAATTTTTTTCTCACATATGAAGACAATTTTTTTTTCAACATGGTGAAACAAGTAACTATCCTATACATATTTTTTTATTTATTGGTTTTACATATTGTATGGATGACATAATAAATCCCTGCGAATTTTAATTCAACTTTAATTAATCTTTTATATAATTATATTGGTGAATTCAATTACCCTGATCAAGGTAGCGTAAAAATCATGGCGAATTCACATTTAACATATTTTCTCGTACCGAAAACAAATATAATAAAAATAATTAACAAATATTTCTCCAGCTTGAAGTTTTTATTTCTTGGCTAACATTTTTAATATCATTTCAAAATATTAACATTTAAATATCATTTCAAATATTAACAAATAATTTGATAATAATATTACATATATACCACATTTAATTTTTCTCTAATTTTAACTTAAAAAATTATTACCAAGGCATTTTTTTCTTAACATCCATTCCCAAAATTATAGATGCTTGCTATTATAAAATTTTTATTCAAAAATAAAATCGTTTATTTCTGAATTATTTTTATAGTAATTAACACTTCCACATTTTGAAAGTTTTATTACTTCTTACGAACAGAAAACAAAGAATTTATTCTCGTATGATTTGGTGGGAAAGATATTGCCCAAATAACCTCAATTTAATGTACAATTTTGTTTAATAATGTTCATACACTTCCATAGTTATTGGGATTATTACGATCCACTCAATTGCAAAAGATAACTTTGTGAAATAAAACTGCCATATATAGACAATCCAGAAACCAGATATAACATTGGACTTTTGTAATTTGAGAATCAATAGATTATTCTGTTATTTTTACCTGTTAATTGGTTCTCCACATTTTTTTTTACCTACTTATTCTCCTCTTATTTCTTTAACAATCAAATCCAAATATAGAAAATAGTTAAAAACAACCTAAAATACCCAAACTTTTGTTTAGTACAAATACAAGAAGAAGGCAAAAGAAAAATTCGCCAAGAGAAAGATTTTCATTGACACGAGAAAGATTTCCATTGCATATATACAAGAACGAAATAAAAAATAAATTGGCGAGAGATAAATCCGACGAAAACATCATGTCTTCGAAAAATCTTTTTCATTGTCTCTACTTTTCGCCGCATGATTGCTTACTAGTCACCAAGCCTCAGAATTGTTAAATCAATCATGTGGACCTTATACAAGGATTTCTGCAAAGAAGCCCTAGCGTCAGCCACAGCAAGTGACATGCAAAGCTTGACAAAAAGTGCACTAGACGTAGCATCATTGAATGCCAATGAAATATTGAAGCTCATCCCTAAATTGCTCGAAACAAGTTCAGATGCATCTGTAAAGCAGGCTTTAACAGATTGCTCTGAGGTCTATCAGAGCGCTCTTGATCAGATTAAGAAATCAACGGCTGCTGTTGATGCTAAGGCTTATAATGATGTTAATACATGGATTAGTGCTGGGATGACCAGTTCTGAGACTTGTGAGGAAGGCTGGGATGACCAGTTCTGAGACTTGTGAGGAAGGTTTCAATGGAGTTACATCTCCATTGACTAGTGTCAACACAAAATTTAGCCAAATTTCCAGTATTATTTTAACATTTTCAAATCTCTCCGCCCAAAATTGAACTCTTATGTGAGCCCATCTAATCTTTCCATATATTTATTATTGTAAGGTCAGATTACTGCAACAATCATTTATGGAAATGAATCCATATTAACATTTGATTTTATAATTTTTTTTAAATTTTTCTAGTTTCTCTTGTTTCTTGCTCTAAATCACTAGTAAGTCGATCTAAACTAGCTATTAGGCATTGAAATGCATTTTAATGAAATAAAAAAAAAATCAAGTTGTTAATTAAAAATTGCAAAAATGAGATTTTTACTCCCACATGCATGTTTAGAAATTAGAACGAATAAAAATTAATTTGGTTCTTGAACTTGTTTAGCATGATTAAAAAGGCTAGAATTGATCTTTTAGACCAATTTAGTCCTTGAACATCTATAAAATGATTAAAAATATCCAATTTTACTTGGTAATTTAACCTTGAACTTGTTTTTATTTTTATAAATTTAATAATTTATTTAATTTAATATGATTGACTTTTTATCTCTTTTTATCCAACACTAAAAACACTCATATCAAACTTTTCCAACACTATCGAATACAAATTTAAAATTCACAAAACATCATTTCTTGTAACATAATAAATTTATAAACATATGCATTATAACTTTAATTTATTTAACATGAAAAGTGTATGTATTTCATAAGCGATAACCCAGTAATAGAGATTAATTTTAAAATGTTCAAACTAATACATATTTATAAACTCAAAATCATCAATCAAGGTAAAAAGAGATACAATATACTTCATATATCATTTTTCAATATTTTATAATTAATTAACTTTTTAATAAATTAGTCAGCTCGATCCCAATTGCAGTTTTAATGTCTATTTAATGATTTTCACATTATAAGTACAATGAAGAATTAGATGTTAAATTGACTCAAAATGTCAAATATGATTTTTTGAAATTATTTTAAATAAGTTTAGGGGTTAAATTAGATTACAAAGTAAAATAAGATCTTTTCAATAATTTTATACATGTTTAAGGACTAAATTGCCCCAAAAGGTCAAATCTGACTTTTTTTATTCCGTGAAACATTCCAAATTAGAACTCCTCTTTCCAAATTAGAACTCCTCTTTAATTTCTATGATTTTGGTTGAGTTCTATTCAAGAAAAATGATTGTGGATTGACTTATGAACCAAACCAATGAAATTAAAGATTTTTATTGAAATAAACATATTTCTGACCACACAATTGAAAAAAAAAAATTTTAAATCGAAACACTTTTTAAAAAATCTTTAATTTCATTGGTTTAATCCATAAGTGGGTCATAGACCCAATTTAGATAAGTTTTTTCCATAAAAATTACTGGAACAATTAATAGCCACTAAAACAACTAACATTGTCAAAGAGGGCACATCAAAACATAGTCTAGTAGTAAGTGCATATATGACCCGATAATAGATTCAAGTTTGAATCCCCTCCTCCCAATACTCAAAATAAAAATATTGTCAAGTAGGAATATTCATGGTACAAGATAACTTTGTGAGATAAATGCGTCATTATTATGATTTTTTTTTTTTTTTTACTTTGATCCTACTAATTTGTTCTTTTCTTATTATGCTCTTATCCAAAAATACAAAGTAGTTACAAACACCTTAAAATAGAATCTATCAAAAATAGAAAATAGTTAAACGCAATTTTAAATACCCAAACCTTTGCTTAGCACAAATACAAAAAGACGGCAAAAGAGCAAAAGAAAAATTCGCCAAGAGAGATTTACATTGACATGTATACAAGAAGGAAAATAAAGAAAAATTGGTGAGAGAGAAAAATCCCGCGAAAGATCATGTTTCCAAAATCTTTTTCTTTGCCATGATTTCTACTAGTCACGAACAGGGCTTAGATTTAATAAATCAATCATGTGAAAAAAACATTATATAATAACTATTGTGAAGAAGCTCTAGTAGTAGGCCAACAAGTGACCCGCCAAGCTTGAAAAAATATGCACTTGACATAGCATCATTGAGTGCAACTGAAATCTCCAAAGCTATCACCGGAATACTCTAACACAATTTCAGATGAATTTGTGAAGAGATGAATTTGTGAAGCAACGTCTAAAAGATCGCTCTAACATCCGTGAGAATTCTATTCATCAAATTAAGAAAGTAAAAGCTACTGTTGATTCTAAAGCTTACAATGATGTTAATAGACAGAGCCAGGAATTAAAGCCAAGAGGGGCTAAAAAAATTTCAAGAGTTAAAAGGGGTGAAATTGAAAGATTTACTAGTTTAAGGGATAAAATAAAAAAATTTAATATTTTATGGATAAAATCTAAGAAAAAAATTTTGTTTGAGGGGGAGGGGGTCAACCATTGACCCCTTAGCTCCGTCGTTGGTTAATAAATTAATTCTAAATAATTATAGTTGAAGTACCCTATGGCATACTCTCGGGAAATGCTCAAACGACTTTCAACAAAAGGGTACTTGTACCTGAAATCGACACAGGTGTTTAGGTAGTGAATACCTCAAGGCACAAGATAACTCTTTCTAAGGAATTCGGCAAAATAGTTTCGTAACTTCTAGAGAAGGCGTGCTACCTCACAAAGAGGGTCGCAGTGACCAGGCCAGGGCAACTGTTTACTAAAAAAGCCTCGCAAAGTTGTAATACTATGTACGGGGTTGATGTCTGCCCATGCCGAAAGGTCAAGAAAGTTAGTGACTTGATGTTGTACATACAACTTTTGTCAAATATGGCTTTCCACATAATTCTATATGTATCTATGAGATCGAGTATGAAATTCTGTTTGCTCACTTTAAATTGAGCATCCCTCTCCTTTCTTTTCCCGTTAGGCTTGAAAATCCTGTATTTTACGTATCCATATGATTGAGTCCTTGGATTTTCAACATGTTATAAAAAGGAGTGATTTGAATTATTGCTATTTGACTCGAATCAATTCTAAAAAAGTCAAGGCATTTCGAATTGTTTGTTGACTTTGCCAGATCAATCAAAAACAAGTTTTTGTTGTAACGAGAGTATTGAGGAAAAAAAAAAGGATAAAGCATCAATAATTCTTCAAAATAAAAAAATTATAGATTGGTTTGGCATATGGGACTATCCATATATGAGATGTAGACAAGTCTTATCTTTAGGTTGGGTATACGACAAGTCTTTAATCTTAGGTTGGGTAATCTAATTTGAATTCAAATTTGATTAATTTAGCTTTTTTAACTTTTTCTTCGGTAATTCAATTATTATGATAAATTTTTTTTGGTGAGAAAAATCAACTAAAAATTTATTAAATCGAAACTGTTAAATACAATGTGGGATACAAATCAAATATATTTCTATATTTTTGTATAGGAAAGTCTAATATAACCACTTACCACTTATATAAAGAATAAAAAAACACAACATTAATTTGAAGTATCTGATCGAGTTGACAAAGTATAATATTTGTACCATAGATGATCGCTTGCACCACTTGATGGCTATTCATGGCTACTAGTTGACTCCATGGTCTTTCTACAAGTCTAATCTGATTACCTTCAAATTTCTTCCTTCTAATGGAGAGGAAATCTGCACTTCTTTCTGTACAACTATCCAAATAATAAAAGATGTTAGATAAAATCAGTATGATGGTGATAACAATGACTCAGAATTAGATCTAAGAACAAAATGTCAATATATGAGCAACAGTAAACTTCAATATTTGAGTGACCATAATTCAAATCTGTTATTATTTGAAAAAATAAATAAATAAAAAAGGAAAGGGGTGATTACCGGTAGCCCATGGAAGAAGAAAAAAGAGATTTTAAATTTTAGGTTATAGGTTTTAGGAGTAAGAGAGAGAGAGAGGGAGGAACAGGCGAGGCTGTTTAATAATATTTATGGTAATAAGAAAGTTACTAATTACAAAATTAAAATAAGCAAATTGCATAACAACTGTTTGTTAATAGAGCAATTTCAATTTCCATATTTTTATGCCTGTCAATTATAAATGGGATTTCTAAAATTATATTGATTCACAATCTTTCAATTTTGTAATTCACATTTTAACATATTTTTTCATACCAATAAATATAATACAAATAATACAAATATTTCTCCAGCTTGATTTTTTTTTTTAATTTCTTACCTAAGATTTAAATATCATTTCAAATATTATAATAATTTGATAATAATAAAATATTATAATAATTTGATAATAATATACCTTATTACATACCTCGTATAATTTGTCTCTAATTTTGCCTTAAAAAATTATTACCATGGCATTTTTTTCTTAATATCTATTCTCAAAATTATAGATGCTTGCTATTATAAAATTTTTATTCAGAAATAAAAACATTTATTTCTGAATTATTTATATAGAAATTAACACTTCCACATTTTGAAAGTTTTATTACTTCTTACGGAGCATTTATTCTCGTACGCTTTAGTAGGAGAGATATTGACCAAATAACCTCAACCTCAATTTTTTTTTACCTGTTAATTGGTTCTCCACATGTATTATTCTGTTAATTTTACCCACTAATTGGTTCTTCCTGCTTTAACTCCTTATTCTCCTCTTATTTCTTTAACAACCTGTCCAAAAATAGAAAATAGTTAAAAACAACCTAAAATACCCAAACTTTTGTTTAGTACAAATACAAGAAGAAGGCAAAAGAAAAATTCGCCAAGAGAAAGATTTTCATTGACACATATACGAGAAGGCAAATAAAGAAAATTTGGCGAGAGAGAAAAATCCCACGAAACCTCATGTCTTCGAAAATCTTTTTCTTTGCCCTATTTTTTACCATGATTTCTACTAGTCACCAAGCCTCAGAATTGTTAAATCAATCCTGTGACAAAACCTTATACAAGGATTTCTGCAAAGAAGCTTTAGGATCAGCCCCAGCAAGTGACATGCAAAGCTTGACAAAAACTAGACGTAGCAT